AAGTTTAAAATGCCCATGATTTCGGAGAAACCACAACAGAGGCATGACAACCCCGTATAAGTTAAATTTAGACTTATTAGATATATATTCTATTTTATGAGTCGCCCCTGCTGAGGGATTTTGAACATATGAGAGGGGAGAAGCTTTTGAGCTATTTCTAGAAGACCATATGGAGTCCTTCATGGAGTAAAATCAATTCAGCAATGTACACACCAACAAATGATCAGACAAGATGGTGAAACCACAACTTGGGAAATTGCTTTTGAATTGTTTGGGAAAATAACATCCTATAGTGGAATCTAGGTCCTTTTAGGGAAGAAGAAAAGTGACGTCTTCTGAATAGTTATATACTTCAATGTGGTCCAACTTGCCATAGATTTCATCCCATAGTTGATTCCTCCTTACATACTTGTTTATCAGATACTCTCGGATGGGTATGAGAAGTGGAAGAAGCTAATTATAGATTTAATGGCTTGAGATTTGGTTCGTGAGAATACCTATTTACACACAGTTCCAGTTATGATTGTGCCAAAATAGGATGGATATCTATTCTATTAAGATGTGCTTTGGAATGTCAATGCCAACATAATTGACTTACCGAGAGATTATAATATTTCTACCACTTTCAACATGGTCGATCTGACGCCATACTATGAGGAGACAGAAGCCTCAATGAATGAGGTTGAATCTTTCCCAACCCTAGTAGATTGATGCAGAAGCTTCCCGCGCAAAAAATTTTGCTGTACTGTAGCTATTACTGTACTGCGAGATTCGCAATTATGGGAGACGTGTCGAAACAGTCATATTCTTTTTTTCCATGCTTTCTTTCCTATTATCCTTCAATCAGAATAACATCCTATAGTGGAATCTAGGTCCTTTTAGGGAAGAAGAAAAGTGACGTCTTCTGAATAGTTATATACTTCAATGTGGTCCAACTTGCCATAGATTTCATCCCATAGTTGATTCCTCCTTACATACTTGTTTATCAGATACTCTCGGATGGGTATGAGAAGTGGAAGAAGCTAATTATAGATTTAATGGTTTGAGATTTGGTTCGTGAGAATACCTATTTACACACAGTTCCAGTTATGATTGTGCCAAAATAGGATGGATATCTATTCTATTAAGATGTGCTTTGGAATGTCAATGCCAACATAATTGACTTACCGAGAGATTATAATATTTCTACCACTTTCAACATGGTCGATCTGACGCCATACTATGAGGAGACAGAAGCCTCAATGAATGAGGTTGAATCTTTCCCAACCCTAGTAGATTGATGCAGAAGCTTCCCGCGCAAAAAATTTTGCTGTACTGTAGCTATTACTGTACTGCGAGATTCGCAATTATGGGAGACGTGTCGAAACAGTCATATTCTTTTTTTCCATGCTTTCTTTTCTATTATCCTTCAATCAGTTTTAGTCATTTCCTATATATGTGTTGTATTAGGGTTTGGAATTGAGGTTTTGTTTATTTCTCCCTTCGAGGGTTGTATTCAAGGGTTTGACTAGTGTTTTGGTTGTATATTTTTCCTGAGGTGGTGGTTACTTCCCTAGCACGTTCCACATTTCTCCCACGTCAATCCCAGCTCTTTGTCCTTGTTGAGCCACCCAGGACAACAACTATCGTTGTTTATTTTTTTCTTACGGCAGTTTCTCCATTTTTAGCCGCCTCTCACCCTTCCATGTATCGCCAACAACTTGCACAACCACCTCCACCCTTCCCCAACCTTCTCACATCACTCCCAGCAGCCGATCCTTGCTGCTGCCATCCGAAAAAATCAAATTTGCTGTTTTCTGGATGTTCAATCATCATTTCGACTTTTTGTCGTTTGGACTGCAGCCTATTATGCTGTCCTTGTTGTCCTCTTTTGCTGCCTCTGCATCGAAACCACTTCTTTTTTTGACTTGCAGTCCATGACTCTTCCCCTTCGCGACTCCTTGTTGTCCCAGCCCCTTTGCTTCGCTGTCAACACAATTCTGGCCCCTCCTTTTTGTTGTCCCAACCACCCACGACATATTTCAACCACCCAAGTTCGCTCCCTAACCTCGTAGCTCACCTCTACCACCCATAGATTGAGCCTTAGTGTGAGTTTGCATCGTGTTTGTTGTAATTTCTCTTTCACGTGTTTTTAACTGTAACCTCATGTTTTTTTCAATAATAATATTTTTTTTTCTAATGTGGTTTGATTTAACTCTGATATCAAATTGTTGTGTTGATAGTATATTTGGATGATATGATTCGTACTGGTGATGATGAAAGAGAGATTCTCAAGATCGATGAAGTGTTTGCGACAGAGTTTGAAATCCTAGACCTACGAAATATGAGGTAGTTTCTTGGTATAGAGATAGTCAGGTCCAAGAAAGGCATCATTAAATCTCAACGAAAATACATCGATCTACTAGAGTCAGTGATGGTTGGATGTAAGTCTGTTGACACTCCAATGGATCTCAACCAGAAGTCAAGGAGGGGAAAAGAAAACGTCTATGTGGATGAGGGAAGAAAACAAAAATTGATAGGAAAATTGATATACTTGTCACATATGAGATCCAATATTGCATATTTTGTCAGTATTGTGAGTTAATGCATGAATATCCGAAATGAAGAGCACTTGGAGATGGTGTATAAAATTTTGAGGTTTCTCAAGAGTACTTCTAGTTATGGATTAAATTTTGAGAAAACCAAGAACAGAGAGGTGGAAGTATACACTGATGCTAGTTGGGCTGGGGAACTAATTGACTGAAGGTCCATCGTAGGTTACTACTCTCACGTATGGGGAAATATTGTGACATGGAGAAGTAAGAAGCAAGAGGTTGTTTCTAGAAGCAGTGCAGAATCTAAGTGTAGGGCACTCGCTTTTAGAATCTGTAAAGGTATCTGGATTCGAAAATTGTTAAGGGAATTGGTTTGTCCCTCAAATAGGTCTATGCAAACGTTTTTTGATAATCAAGCAGCTGTTAGTATTGCCAAGAATCTTGTGCATCTTGACTGGATCAAACATATTGAAGTTGATTGACACTTCATCTCCGAAAAGGTTAATGGGGGAATTATATAGCTAAGCTACACCCATACACACCAACAAGTTATCGATTATTCACCAAATTCCTTCCTTTAAGCATCTTCTCAGAGTTCAATGCCAAACTTTGTCTCTATAATATCTACGACCTAGCTTGAGGGGGATTGTAAAAATCTGAGAAGATCCAGTTATCTCTCTTTCTTCATCTAGATTCCAACACAGGGAAGATTTGAGTGGGATTAACTTAGGAAACTCTTGATTAGTATATTTCTTTCATATTTTATTGTTTTTTTTTTTTTTTTTTTCAAAATTATGCCCTTCTCTAATTTAGGATAGGCATATTTGACAAGTTTGTAAATAGGGAGTGATTGGTTTCCGTGTATATGTACCTTACTGGTAAATAATGAAATCAATTTTACCTTACTGGTAAATAATGAAATCAATTCTCTTTTCAACAACAAGCTTGTTGGTTTAATTCAACTCCATTGATACTTATTCAAAATTTGGATGGTCTGTATGTCATTTGACTACAAAAGAGTGAATAGGAAGAAATGAACTACTGGAAAGAGAGAAGAAAGGATAAAGATAGATAACTTATGTTAGGTTTTCGAAGAACTCAATATTCAATCATCATAAAATCATAATAATTAAAGCTTTTCTTATATAGCAAAATACTAGATTTATTATAAAGTGATTCACATAAAACAGAAATTGCAATAATAAATGGGTTGGAAAAATTTTCCCTTGAAGAGCTGTTGTTGTAAACTATGGTAGAAAATGTGGCGACTCCTTTTAGGAGAATGGGAATATTCATGAACGAAGTTGCAAGCGAAATTATTGACATATAAATAATTTTTCTAATCTAAGCACATATGTGGTGGAAGTGGAAGCACAAACTCAATCTAAGGAAATATCGTTTAGGTAGTTGTGTTATCAATTGTAGATCATCTTGTAGAGTCATCTCAATGCCCCATTTTAATATGGTACTAGAACCTGAATTTAATTTATATCATGCTCATTTTTTTTATCATACATCCAAAATTGTACGTGAACGTACTAGGATATAGGACACAATTGCGTTACTTGTTTATGGTCTCATTTACTCTGATCTCTTGCTTGAAATAATAGCCAACATAATATCTAATGAGCTAATAGCTTAGTGTGATAAATAATTTTAATATAAGATACAAAATGCAAGCAAAGAAAGTAATACCATGTATGTTGATATCTCAAACCATTATGAGTATTATTAATCACAGACATGACTAATTCACTGCATCAATTTTAAAACAAGATAAATTTTATAATTATAAAAGTAAAACAATCATAAGGAGTAATTTTATCTATTTGTAAGAAGGTAAAATGATCATTTAATTGTCAAACCTTTATTGCACTATGATAGTCAATTTTTTGTATGAAATTGCTTGCTTTTATTTTCATTTTTTTCACATTTATACTATTTATAATCTTAGATATATCATATGATGTCTATATAGATTTTGGCACATCCATTGACCATTGGTTTTCTTTCACTTCTTTGCAAAAATTCACTATTACCAAGTGATATGGTTATGTTTTTTGGCTTCCTTCAAACCATTGTTCAAGATCCATCATTAATTTTTAATGATATTGTGCTCATCTTTTTGAAAAGATCCAAAATTTAATAATAACCTTCCAATTTTTTTCTTCTTTTTCCACATGTTGGTACTAAAAAATTCTATACCTTGATATTCTCTGCCATTAATTTCACGAAGGTGCTTATTCTCTGATTTTTCTTTGCAGCTAGGCTCTTTGACAGTAATGCATTTGAATAGAAAATTAGTTTTAAACGATATTCATGAAATCCAATTTTGAATAGTTTACTTCTCTATCTTTAGCGCTTTGTTTTGTTTGAGTGATCGTCAAATTGAAGTAAATTGGGACAAAGTTTGTAAACCTTTGATTGGTATAACCAACCTCTGCTTTCAACTTGGCGTTAATGCAGGGGACTGATATGCCCTCATGTGATCATTCAAGCAGAATGCGTGATGCATCAGATGCTCTTTCCCAGGCATTACAAGAGAAGGTTAGAATTCTTCTTCCATTTTATTTTCCTTGCAGCTGGTTGTTTCTGTAATTTTATTCTGTAAACGATTTTCTAGTTTGACTTTATAATGGAAACCTAGATGGATGCAAAGATCACTAACAGTTGATTTGTTTCATATCTATATGATGCCAGGTTGCTGCTTTGCTGCTTTTGTCGCAAGAAGAAGAAAGGCATTTACTGGAGAGGGAAATGAATGCTGCTCTTCAGCAAAAGTTGGAAGAACTTCAAAGGCACTTATCTCAAGTAATTACCAGCTCTGATCTTTTATTTTTCTTGCTTTCTTGCTGAGTTCTGATAACTGTGTTTTACTGTATGCAACCTTCTAGGTGACACTAAATTAGCTCAGCCAAGAGATGGGATATATTCATGATGTTGAATAGCTATATTATAAGTTTGCACATTTTCTCTCTTGCTGGGTATGGTGCTGGTTGCAATTGCAACCTTTTCAGTATACCCTTTCTTTGAGTGTATATGTTGTATGCCCCGTCTATGTAACGAAGGTCAGAGAACAAGATTCTTGATTTGTTTATATGCTTATAGGAAATGATGAAGGGGTGGTAGAGGGAAGATAGAAGTGACAGAGGGTTTGGTGAGGTAGGGGGGAGGGAGAATTGAGAGGAGATCATGGAAGAGCAAAGACGGGATGATGCTACATGAGCGTTGCTGAAGGAATCCTGTTCGTCTTTCTTTTTCAAACCGATTATTTCCATGTGTCCATTTAATTATTGTGCATATTTTGATTATAAGTTTTGGTTTGATGACTCTTTTCTATGTTTAAATTGCTTTATGAGTGTGTAATTGTTTAATAATTTTGTTAGTGAAATGTTGAAGCCCCATTTCTCTTCAAACGTATCTTTTTATTCTATGATTTTACGTTATTATTTGGTATCATAGATAGTTACATGAAATGAAAATCTGAGGTTTTCCAGTTGCATGTGACCACATCGCACTATTCTTGCACTTGAGCTTCATTGTGTCATTGCAAACTCGATTGTTCAACCACTGTAAGACTTTTCTTTTTCTTGATCCCAACCAATCACTTGCATTCCAGAAGCAATCACAACATTTTTGCATCTTTCTGCAAGTGCTTGTGCTACAGGTAATTGCGACTAATGATGCATCCTCTGCAGGTGTATGCCCCAGCTACCCACGAGATTAAGCACTCTTCCATATCCTAGCAACTAATCCACTCTAATATTGATCTATCATGTGCCTAATGAGTGATACCGGAGGGAACCAAACAATATTAGGAATAACCAAATTTTATTTGCTGATTTCAACCAGAAAATTTCAGCCACACGAATGGAAATAGGAAATAATAACAATACAACACACAATTCCGATCAGGGTAACTTCAAGGTGGTGGTAGGGGCTGTGGAGGGGGTAGGACAGGAAAGGGGCTGGAGTGCAAAAAAGCAGCGGCACAACAGCGGAAGGCTGCTGTACTGGGCAGCAGCAAGCCAACGAGGAGGTTGGGACAGTGCTGGTAACCCACGGGAATGGGGGAAACAGGTGGTCGAGCGGCTGGGATGTAGTGGTGGCTGGTGGCTGCAGGATCACGGCAAAGAATGCTGTGTGTGTGCGGCTGCAGTAGGGAAGGTGATGAGGGAACACCACAGCGTGTTGTGGGGAAGGATGCGGTGGTTGGAAGGGCGGGAACTACTGAAAAACAACCAAGGAGGGCTGTTTTCCTATTGTCACACCAAAGACAACAATGGCTGCAGCGAAGGAAAGGTTGCAAAGGAGTTTGGGAAAGATAAATACCACTTTAGGAGCGAGATAGAGCTGAAGCACAACTCAACATTGAAAGATAACCGCCACCTCAGAACAAGATACTACCGGAGCACCTCTCGCCCTTGGATATCCTTAGAATGGAAAACAGGGGACACTGATGGCTGTCCTGATAGAAACACAATCAAAACTGAAAACCTAAATCACAAGCCTTAGATAGCGGAGGGGCCTCGCTCCATTTAGATGATTGTTCTCTGGTTAGGATGGCCGACCAACCCAACAGAATGCTTAGCCAGTATGTTCCAAGAGCAAGAAGCGGCTCTTGCATCCGCTATTTGGCACTTTCGTGACCACTAAGTTGACACCTGCAGCATTCTCATGAGGATGGAGGAGCTTCAAACTCATCTGTCAAAGTGTATGTCTTTTCATAATAGTCAAGTCGACCTCATTGAGAAGTGTATGTCTTTTCATAATAGTCAGGTCGACCCTGTTGAAAATTGAAGAAATGTTGCAAGCTCCTGGTGCTTCAATCTTGTAGATGTCCCAAACCACTACTTAATAGAGTAAGTATTCATCTACTTTTGGCTCAACTTGAGTTAGAGTTGTATATCTGTGTAGTTTCCCATGAGTCAAATCCCGAGCAAGTAAATCTATAATATACTTCTCTCACTCATCGTACTCGATTGGATGTATCTGATAAACAAGTTTCTAAAAAAAAAAAATCAACTCTGGAATGACATATTTGGCAAGTTGGGCCATACTGAAGCGTAACCACAGAGGAAAAGCCTCTTATTCTTCTTGGAAATACCTAGATCCCGTTTTAGTATGTGCTCATCTCCAAAGATTCTAAAGCAATTTTCAATTTTGTTGTTCATCCATCCTGTCTGATCATTTGTTGGTGGGTTTACCATTGAATTGATTCTAATACCAAAATGACTCCATATAGTCTTCCAAAAGCGGCGCAAAAAAATTTCATCCCTGGCATGTTAGACCTCCCTCAGTAATGGCAACTCAGGAAGTAGACTATATTTGTGAAAATTTTGAAACTTTCTAGTTCGGAGTTGTCGTGTGTCTGGTATTGTTTCCTCGAACTTAAGGCCGTCTTGGACAGCTAATATTAGTTATGTTGGAGTCTCGCATATCGGTTGAGCTTCAACTACAAGCTTTTTTCTCTTATCAATTGGAATTTAGTACTCCTTTGTGTCCTCATCTTCTTTAGTGTCTAGTGTGTCATTGTTCATTTCTTTAATTGCTCTCTGTTTAATGGAAGAGAACATTCTTTTGGTTCGGCAATCTGATTTAATATGCCCAAATATGCGGCACTTGAAACACGTCATTGTTTGAACGGATTTCGGAATGTGGATTGGTTACACTTGTACTCCACTTTGAACTAGTATCTCTTCAAATGGGGTCGGCTTGGATGTTCCATTGGGTATATTCCATTTTCTTGATTTTGGGGTTGAACTCCACCTGTAAGATGTGGCGGTCACCAGGTGAAGTTTCCCCGAGAACATGTCCCATCTGTAATGAACTGGTAGATACGCGCGCTGCATCTCTCATTTTATCTTTGGCCAGATAGTAATTTTACTTTTACTTTCTCGCTGTCAAAGATTCTTAAGCTCTCCCACCACTGAGATGCTTATTTCTTAAGTTATTGGCAGCAAGTTTTATCATTCCCTTCGGTGGGACATCCTAATACTTAAAGATATGTTACATTGTCCAGAGAGACTCAATGAACTCATTCAAATTCATAAGACCTTCAAACTATGACAAATCTACATTTACTTCAAAATCCTGGATTCTTTGATATTTTATGCCAAGTCTTCGGGATAGTGGTTTTTCATCTTTAAAATTTGTCTGTCGGAAGGGATTCATTGTATTCTTTTGATCTGGCTAGTTACTATTATGGCTATGAGTGATCCTTACGGATTGCCTCTTCTTGAAAGCGGTAAGCCTTTGTTGCAGTTAGAGGTTTTCTTGCAGCACATAAATGATTTCAATATATCTCTTTGTGGATTCCTCATAAACGGTATTGTGGTATTTCCTCTTCAATAGGTTTTTGATAATTCTCTCCTCGGTGATGTGGTTGGGGTTTGGGTTTGGATAGGTGAATAAGGGTGTATAGGGATGATGTTGGGTGTGAAAGTAAATTGTTTGGTGGTCGGTTTGAAAAATCAGCATAAGGAAGAATTTTTGTGTGGAATTGGGTTGGGTAATTGTGGATGCTAGAAATCCTAGGATAGGATTAGGGTTAGATTAGCTCTGATACCAATTGATACCGGAGGTAACCAAAACTCAATAGAAAAAATCAAATATTATTACTAATTTCAATGAGGGAATTACAACCACATAAACTGAAATAGGAGATAACAATAATACAATCTCGACTAATGCGAAATCAAGGTGGTGGTGGAGACCGTAGGTGGATTGGGATGGTGGCAGTAGGATAAGAAAAGAGCTGGATTACAGAAAAACAACAACAGAAGGTTGCTATCCTGGGTCAGTAACTGTTGACCTCATTTTTGTGAGGTCTTGTCTTCTCCTCCTTAGAGCCTAGATTCTAGCTCTAGAAATTCCTACTGACCATCCTAGAAGACTAGAATTGAGACTCACCTTTTTAGAAATTACAGCCACTTCTTATTTTTCTTTGATGTCTAACATTTATGGCACAAGACCATCGTCTTATGAATGAGCGGTTATGGGCTATTTTGTGAAGACTCAGAGGAAAAGTTCCCAATAGGACTTCAAGCCTTAGGAAGACATCGTCACGACTTTTTTTGTCACATACACACATCAAATACACAAAGTTCACGACATTGCACGAAATCGGACTTCAATTAGGCCCAAAGGACGGGCGAAAATGCGAACTTCTCCGGATGACCTCCGACGACAAATTGGACTGCGCCAACGCGTCCGGGATACCAATTTTGGTAGGAAAGGACACCCATATTGCCATATTTTCGACACGAGAAAATTGGCACGCAAATCAATGAATTCGTCAAAAAGACTTCCGACGGCGAAACAGACCGAGCCAGCACGTCCGGAACGTCAGAATTATGCGAAAATGATATCAATTTTTGCTATATCTTGATGCATGGGTGAAACACAAATTAAAATTTTATTTTTCAAAAATCTTAAATATTTTCTTAAATCATATTTTACCTAACTTTATTTAGGTTTTCCCTGGCTTGCATAAATCCGATTAAAACATTCCATACGCTCGATTAATTTCCCCATCTTCGCCGCTCGTGCCCTAGCCTCCCGCGACCGCTCCTCGCCCGTGCCCTAGCTCCACGATCCGCGGCTCGTCTCCTCGAGTTCCTCTCGACCGAGCGGGTCTCCAACCGAGGGTTTCCACCTGGCCGACCCTT